GTTAGCAATTTGGTACTACAAGGGACAGTTCATAGATATAGAAAAGCTCAGACTTCAAACCATACAGGTTTATTGTAACCCTTTACCCATCTCCACATACAGTGCCAGCAAATTCACCTTTTGAGAAAAAACTCAAAATTTTTTTCTGCCAAAGATTAAGTAAAAATTATCAGAGTGAAAATTTGCAATTAAGGACAGCTTAATGCCATTAATGTTTATTAGGCATTTCACTAGACTATTATCTTTTGTAAGTATGTGCAAGGTGTGCTACATAGCAATAACTAGTAGCATTGTATTTGCAATTACAAACAGAATGTAACCAACATGTCTTTAATAATATAATTAAATGAATGTTGAAATTGGTTCATGTGTCATGCTTACTGGTTATGATAAATATCTTTTCATATGATCAAAGCTCGTTTAAATGTAAATCTGAAATAATTTAGTTTAGAAATTATATTGATCATCAGAAAAATTACCTAGTGATCATAAAAAATACTTTGCTGTTTTGCCAAATTTCAAGGTTTATCTGCATACATAGGAAGACATTTTTACTTTGTAGAAAATGCTTTTCATACATCAATAGCCCTTAGTAATTTATGGCAAACAATCTAGCATGAGCCGTAGATTAACACACCTTTATATCTCTACATGAGATGTTCAGTTAGAAAAGGGGACAATATGTGACATGGGACAACATTTCATGTAAGTGAAATACTCAGGTTTAATAAATACTTTGCTGTTTTGCCAAATTTCAAGGTTTATCTGCATACATAGGAAGACATTTTTACTTTGTAGAAAATGCTTTTCATACATCAATAGCCCTTAGTAATTTATGGCAAACAATCTGGTATGAGCCGTAGATGAACACACCTTGACATCTCTACATGAGGCGTTCAGTTAGAAAATGGGACAACATTTCATGTATGTGAAATACTCAGGTTTAATACCATTCCAATCAAATTGTCAAAATAAAAAGCTTTCTCAAATTAGTTTTCTCAGTTAGTTTTCTTAAATCTTAAACAATATATTGACATAAATCGCATCACACACTTGCATAAATTGACTTTGATATTTACATTCATGCATACACTTCACTTGTCCTTTATTTACGATTTTGGATGTAAATTTCTGCTGAGAAAAGTCAAAACAATGTGAAAAAATTCACAGTTTGGACAGCAGCATTCATGTCAATATATAAATTTGTAAAAGATTTCCAAAAATTCCATCTGATTGTAGTTTAGTTTCTATCATGCTTTAGAAAATTACTATGAAACGATCAAACATTCAATTCAGACAGTGAGCTTGAATATGTTAGTTCAGTTGGCTATCAGTCGAAATCGGTCAAACCAATCACAGTAAGACAAAAACTTAAACGAACCAACTACACAATAGCAATTGGACTCCCTTATCGTTCCGGCCACCCCGCTTATCGGTCGAGATTATTCCAGATCGTCCACTGATCTGGCTATTGACCAATGGGGACTGGCTTAAATAAGCGTTCTTGAACTCCGTTATCGGTTGAACCAGTGGAGCAATCCCGCTTGTCAGTCAACCAGTCAATATAATTCTAGATATGTTTTTATCTACTGATCTGTTTACAAAGGTGATATTTGTATAAGTTTTAATACATAAAACAGATTTTGACGATGAAATCCAAACGATTACAGAACGAAATTTTTGAACTATAAGCATATATCGCGTGACTGATTTGACATACCCTAGACCCGACCCTGATTAGTCCGGAATCGTAATAAGCTGTCAAAAAATGGGCTCACGAATAAACTTATAGAAACTCACAATTAAATTGAACTAGCATTCATCATGATTTTAAGACTTTATAAAAATAAGTGAAGTCACGACTCATTATTGTGACGAGGAAATGAGAGGGGTAGCGCCGTAAAACTTTATTTGACAAGATGAGTAATCGTAAAAGTATGCAGGTGCCAATTGCACTTGCAATTTTTACTCACACAACTGTTTACTGACTCTAGTAAAAAAATAAAATACCAAGTATTGAATATTATTTAATTTTTATATTCCATTTCATAACTTGTATAATTTTGTTTTGAACTTTATCTGTCTATATATGTCCAATAAATAACCTTTACAAGCTTTCAAGATTCATAAGGAAATTCTATGGCCATGCCCTTTATGTCGGGCAAAATAGTCCGTCACCACCCCAATAATTATACCCAAGTTTCGGCCCTGATTTACAAGCCCTGTGTTTGCAATGATAGCACAACACAATACACGAAATCTTGAAGCTGCAATGCCAAATGCATTTTCGAAAACTCGTTTAGCCCTTAAGAGGTGGTAATTGAATATTCTCTTTGCTAGTGTTTTAAGAACAAGCCTAGTAGGCTTTAGCAATAACATTTTAAGGGAAAATCCTCATCACCTACCAACACATAAGGAACTGGCATTTCACCCTTAAACTTGCCTTTTCGGGGATACTTATTACGTAATTTTCCATTGCCAGATTGATCATACTGTTTGCAAATGCTCTCCAACACTAATTCGCCCAGTATAGCCTTTATCCATCAGAGTAAATCTGTACCTTGCATCACAAACAGAAAGAAGTTCATTACTGTAGTCTCTTATGTATTTGAAATACTCTGAGCCAGCACTTTCTGGGGCCGGCATAATGATGTGCTTGCCATCGATGGCACCAATGAAGTTGGGAAAATTCCATGAAAATTCGAATTCTCGTGATATTGATAACCATTCCTCACTCGTAAACGGTGCTTCAACAAAGGTTTTTGAAAAAAGCACTTTCCAAAATATTTTACATAGTATTCATCCCACAGTCGTTGGACTTATCTTGTAGCTTAACCCATTAGCTTGCTAAGCATCACCTGTGACTAAATATCGCAAAGTTACGTTCACCATTTCCAATAGCTTCGCGCTTTATACTCGAGTTGGTAATGAAAGGGCCGCCATCGAAAGGGGCTCCTCAAACTTTGATGGGGTCATTCGAAAGTAGGTGGAAATGTATTCATGAACAGCTAGCATCATATCTTTGATAAGAAGATGAAATTCACCCTTCTCCTTTTGTTCTGCAAAGGTTTTCCGAACACAAAACGCTTTCTATACTTCAAACGTAGACGCTGTCAACATACTTTTTTTCTAAATGCTAATAACACAAGGCAATTTTGATCAATATCATTATTGCTGGCCGCCATGTTTTTCTGTGCTTTTGTAAATATTCGCAAAAATACAAACAACCACAAGTAATAAGTGGAAATCATATCTTCGCGTACGCCGTTTTCGCTGTCGCCAAAGTCCGCGAAAAATTTGGACAGCAGCTGGCGAAATAAAGAAGTGGAAAACGGGCTTAAGATAGAGAACATTTAGTGGGAGCAAAACTGCAGAAGAAATTGGAAAACAGCAGTCTATTTTATTTACTTTTGCAGTGCTCTAAGCCAAGGTGGTTTTTTGAAAATAACGACTGGGGTGTCTTGCCTAAATTAATTTTTCAATGGATACGGAAATTCTGTGATTTCTTCATGAGATTCATTGTCAAAGGATGCCGCCATCTTGCTAATTCGCGTAAAATAGCAAACTGCTGACCACATATACCAGCAAACGTCTCGATTGCTGGTATATGGGTTGTTAACATAAACGTTTTGTTTATTGGAAAATTTAACTATATCATATATACAACTGGATAAAGCATATACTCTTCTTGATGTACTTTTGTCATGTGGGCTTGCCATACAAATCTTGGCTGAATGTATCAGAGTCAAGTGAAAGGCAAGAAGGAAGCAATTGATTTTATCGGTCAATATTATCAAATGGTAACACAAATATGCATCGACAAACGAAAAAAAGTAACTTTTCGCACTGTTTTTGTAATAAACAACGATTATTTTGTGATTTTTGTGTCGAAAAAAGCAGCTGTTCAATCAGTTCTCACCCCGCGAGAGAATCTCGAAACACTACACACGCGCATTTAAGTGTAATCTTGCGTGTCTGGGTGCAAGTCATGGCCTTCAGCTTTCCTTCCACGTATTTTAGTTCAATGGTTCAACTATCTATCACAACTCATTAACATACCGATAAAAAAGTGTGCAAATATTTGGCTTAAAATCGTGACTGTGAACATTTATAAAATTGCATCTGAAAATCGAATTTAAATTCTCATTGCAGACGTTTACACTGGGAAGTAATCTGCCGAAATGCGTCGTGTTATTTCGCTTTAAAACAGTTCTTTTAGAACTATTGGCTTAGTGTTCTGGTTTTAAACTGTTCTTTTAAGAACTATTAAGTTATTGTTTTTGCCATTGACCATGGTATTTCCGATTTTCAAGACAATTTGTAGAAACGGAACCCATAAAATCTAATCTTTTTAATTAGGTAGTAAAAATAGGGAAGTTAAACACATAATACAATGTCTGCATGTGACGTCAAAGCGGCCATGTTGGGGGAGTACATACAAGGGCCAATGCTCATGAAATTAGCATAACTTCTTTTCACTATATGCGATTTTCGCCTAACATGGCGACTAATGAACACAATCTTTATAAGCGCCTTAACATGCAGTTATGAAGCTTGCATAAAAGTTTACGAAATTGCAAAATTCTAAAGGTTTTCTATTTTTATAGAACCTTAACAACTCACAGTACTGATTACACTGTTTTATTAGTGAAGAGAACATTCTGTAAATTTTAGATTCTAATTTTTTTTATTTAAAAACACCTTTAAAAAAGGTATTAGTTATGGACTTCCAAGAATAAATTCTCATCAAATAATGAGCCGTTTTAATTCGTTTAGCCTAACGTTGAATCTACCCATTTGCAGAAAAAAGTTAGCACTATTTTTGTTCACCAAAAAAATCGACTTTTCAATTATTTTGTTGATTAAGTGATGCAGCCAAATATCATTTTCATTTAACAATACAAGAAAAGACTTTTCCTAGCCAACACGACAGGCAGCATTTAAGAGCAACAATAAAACTTAATTAGATTTTTACATGTATTATACATATTATACATTACCTAAACCATCAACAGCAAATTTAGAAATGCTGAAATTGAATTCGTTCCAAGTGCGGTTTTCAAATTGTAATTCCAATGCAGTGTCTTCAGGATCTTTATTATATGTCCACATAATATCTACTGAACGCTTTCTTGGCTGGACAAAGAAGTCAACAGGCTTTAGAACATTTGGCAACAAGTTCTGACAAGCTATACAGCCAAAAATTAAATGAAATACACGCAGTAAGAATGATTAAACAAATTTTACTAAAACAATTAAATCAGTCGTGTACAATAGATTTGACAACGATTTCCCATTTTTTGTGCACCTCTGAATCGTGGTATTTATCGTGCTCACTACTACTTTTAATCTTTGAAACTGGCCTGAATAAAATGCTCCAAAATTTCGCAGCAAGTAAACAATGTCGAAATTGTGCAAAATTTGCTCCCAATAAAAAAGAGTAGTTTTCACTATAACAGTTTGTCTAGTACATGCGTGAGTGGAAGTCATGTACCAAGAGATTTTTGTTTTATTAGTGCGAATGCCATGCATGTGCAAACATTTTGGGTTTTCTGCCAAACTATAAAAAACCTGAATGTATTTTGTAAACGGACATCACACCCCATAACAAGCACCGGTTATTATATGTTGTCTGTCGGTTGCCGAAAAACCTAGCAGCTCCTATAGCGTCTATTTATTCATTAATGTCGGTTTATGTAAACAAAATGAGAGAAATAAAGAGCAACATCAAATCGTAAAAGGAAAATAGTAACAACACTAATCAAAAATATTTAAACAATCAAAGGGAGTTCATGCGTCGTAAAGAAAGATCAAGAGTCTGAATTATGAATTAAAGAATAACTTATCGCAATCAGTGGCGTCGCCAGCTCGATATATGAGGGTATTTTATTCATATAATCATTGTTTCTTAGGGATTAAATAATGAATATATGAATATCGTCCCCTCACTTATCGACCTGGCGACGCCATTGATTGCAATTACAGCATTTGCCTCTCATCAACGGAAAACGGGTATTAAATACGGCGTGTTGTATACTCAATAATGCGTTTCTAATTTCATTAGGAACAATCAAATGCCAATCGAGCGAAAAGGATGTTCAATAAAAGGCCAACTAAATTCATGCCATTTAATTCATTTTTAAATTAGCGATACAAACATCTGTAGCAGGTATCAAACAGTTATTAACAAGACAAATGTCATTTGAATAACATATCGTTTTGAATTTAACAGCATAAGTTGATGCAATTTAAAAATGCAGCCTACGCTCGCATTCTCCCGCCTATGGGAGAATGCAAGCATAAAGAAGGACTGAAAATTTGCATAAATTTTTCCTAAGAGGGAGAACAATGCAAATGTATTTCTACGACGCTGCAGGGAAAAGCTTACGGACAGTTTCTGTCGAAAAAAGTTTTGCGTGATTTCCATTGATGCAGACTTATCTACCATGATGCCGGACCAAAGAATACATCCTGGCTGCTGGTTAACGAGATATATGTTTATCTGAGCCAGACTTAACAGCCGTAGCATGCTACTGTCACGCCCGTTGCTTCAACAGTTAATAAACTGCTCCAGCAAAAGTTTTTGACATTTTGCCTGTCTGGTAAGGGTTTGATTCGTACTGACAATATCAAATTGTCGGTCAATAGCAGTAATAGTAAGTTGCTGTCTGTAAATTAGTTGAAATGGAGTCGGAGGGTACGAAATTGTTTCTTGGTCATCGTAGATATATGTAAGTGGACGATTGTTAATGGTAGCCTCGATTTCCACTAAAATTGTTCTAAGCACTTCAAAATCCATGGAGGATCGACGGAGAGTTTTCTTCTAACATCTCACTATACTCTCTATCATTCGTTCGTAAAATCCTCCTTGCCACGGTGCTTTTTCAATGATAAATTCCCAATTGACATCCTTTGAAGCCAGTTCGCGTTATATGTCAGTTGATCTCAGTAAATTAGCAAATAGCAACATCGCTTGAGGCACTCTTGAATATCTTGGCATTGTCTGATATTAGTATTACACCTCTTCGTGAAACAAACCTTCGGAAAGCTTGCAGAAACGATAGCACAGACAAATAACACACATATTCAAGATTAACCACTCGAGGGGAAGCACAATAGAACAAACAGATATATACCTTATCCATTCCTTGATTGTTAGTAGCGTAGTCTGTGCAAAGGGGCCTGCAAAGTCAATACCATTGTTTGCAAAGGGAGGCTCTTTGCTTACTCGACTTGATGGCCAACACACTTCCTTCGCGTTTAAGAAAGCTTTACCTCGAATTTTTTGCATTTAATACATCTACGCACAACGCCCTTGACGCACTCTTGACCACGAAAAATCAAATGATTTCCTCGAACGCAGTTGAAAGTTTTCTAATTCCTTCGTGATGTACTTGACAGGGGCATTTAACTAATTTCGAAAAGTATGCTTAAGAGTTGACAAAATTGGTTGTTTCGCACTATCAGATACTGTTGAGTGGTCAATTCGACCTTCGCAACGAATATCCAGTTCGTCATCAAGAAAAAAAACCAAGTTGTTGAACTCGTAGACTTTTAAGACCGTCAGAAAACGCGTTTGACTGAATATTTTGGATCCAAAATCTCTCAGCTTCGAGTAGTTTATTAGCATTCAACTCATACGTAACAGAGCATGGTTGCTTTCTTCATTTCTTGATAAACATTAGGAACACCCACGAGAAGGCAAGTCCGCAGGGTTTATTACCCCAGGACACTGTCTCGATTTCTAACAACTTGTTAACTTTCTGATTTCGTTTACGCGGTTCTGTATATACGACTTCTACAGTTTATGATATCAAATTCAACACCATGTGGTAAATAAATCCGTCCATAAGATAATATCAGTGGTTCATTTTATTGAAGTCAACGCTTTCACAATCAAATCGACTAATCTTTCTAAGGTAGTTGGGCCAAATAATTCAAGTCGTGGTATGGTCTGTCGTTTGATAGAAGCAACTCTTCTCTCGGCTGCTATTAAATTCACTTCAAATTCAGGGGCGGATCTAGAGTATGTCAAATCCGTCGCGCGACTGATGTTTGAAATTCAAAAATTACCTATTCATATTTATTAAAAATTCATTAATTATTCTCACTTTCTTATCGCATTTACTTCGTGATAAAAATCCAGCTTTATTTATTATTGAAAACTAATGACTAATCCAATGAATATCTCGTTGGTAACCAGATTAGTTGAATTTTGGTTGACCTGGAATAACCGACTGATAAGCGGGGTGGCTTGACTAGTTCGACGGATAAAGGAGTCCATGAACGCCAAAAACGCTTATTTTAATTGTCAATGGCCAGATCAGTGGACAGTCTGGAATGGTCTCTTCTGATAATAGGGGTGGCCGGACCTATAAGGGAGTCCAATTGCTATCTTACAATTGGTTCATTTGAATTTTGTTTTATTGTGATTGGTTTGACGGATTTCGACTGATACCCAACTGAACTAACATAGTCAAGCTCACTGTCTGAATTAAATGTTTGATCGTTTCATCGTAATTTTCTAAAGCATGATAGAAACTAAACTACAATCAGATGGAATTTATGGGAATCTTTTACAAATTCATATTTTGACATGAATGCTGCTGTCCAAACTGTGAATTTTTTCAAGAGGGCGAAAAATTTATGGATAAATTGTAAATGCTTGGCAAAGACGATCTCGCTAGCGACATTTCAGTCATTGATGTTCTAAAGCAAGCCAACATTGTTTTGAGCTTTATCAGCAGAAATTTACATCCAAAATCGTAAGTAAAGGACAAGTGAAGTGTATGCATGAATGTAATATATCAAAGTCAATTTATGCAAGTGTGTGATGCGATTTATGTTAATATGGCGTATGGTAAGCAGATTGATATTTCTAAAATTGTTGTTGACGAAGGACTTTTAGCTATGATTTCTTTAGTGCTTGGGGAATCGTGGCCGTTATATGGCAGCGAAATCCTACATTCCTGCAAATATATTTCAATGGACAAAAAATCTGCAGCCATAAGGCGCCATACTATTATTTACTTTATCATAAACAAATGTTTGGGGCTTTTCAGTTTATGATCATTGATCATTCAATCATTGACAGTTATACTACATATTGTTTAAGATTTGAGAAAACTAACATTGATTACATGAGAAGCTGTTTACTATAACCTGTGATTTTGAGTCTTCTGATCCATGAAGCTTTTATTTTGACAATTTGACTGAAATGGTATTAAACCTGAGTATTTCACATACATGAAATGTTGTCCCATGTCACATATTGTCCCCTTTTAACTGAACACCTCATGTAGAGATGTAAAGGTGTGTTAATCTACGCTCATACCAGATTGTTTGCCATAAATTCCAAAGGGCTATTGATGTATGAAAAGCATTTTCTATAAAGTAAAAATGTCTTTCTATGTATGCAGATAAACCTTGAAATTTGGCAAAACAGCAAAGTATTTTTCATGATCACTAGGTAATTTTTCTGATGATCATTATAATTTCTAAACTAAATTATTTCAGATTTACATTTAAACGAGCTTTGATCATATGAAAAGATATTTATCATAACCAGTAAGCATGACACATGAACCAATTTTAACATTCATGTAATTATATAATTAAAGACATGTTGGTTACATTCTGTTTGTATTTGCAAATACAATGCTACTAGTGATTGCTTCCATATACTTACAGGAGTTAATAGTCTAGTGAAATGCCTAATAAACATTTATGGCATTAAGCTGTCCTTAACTGCAAATTTTCACTATGATAATTTTTGCTTAATCTTAGGCAGAAAAAAATTTTGAGTTTTTTCTCAAAAGGTGAATTTGCTAATACTGATGTGGAGATGGGTAAAGGGTTACAATAAACTTGCATGGTTTGAAGTCTGAGCTTTTCTATATCTATGAACTGTCACTTGTAGTACCAAATTTCTAACTTAACTCATTACATAGAGGTTTGAATGGGGGTCTCTAGGGGGGTCTATGCCTGACAACTTGGTAGAAATTTTTAAAGACTATATTTGTTTTTGAATAGCATTATTGTAAAATAAATTTTACGTTCCTAGACATGCTAATGAGCCAAAATATTTGGCAACACATTCAAGTATTGTTCACTTAATTTTTTTTTTTGAAAAAAACGTAAGCAAAATGTGTTGTTTTTACGCAAAAACGATGCCCACAAAATACATTTTGTATTGCTCTAAAACGCTGAAAATAGCATTTTCAAGTCTCTGAAATTCAAAATTTCTCAGGGGAGAATGCCTCAGACCACCCCAGGTGCGGAGCGCCTCCGACGTTTTATGACTGATGTTTGAAAAATCCTAGATCCGCCCCTGTTCAAATTCACTGCTTTATATTCCGTTCGTAGATATACAACTGCTGCGAAAGCAAATTCTGATGCATCGTAATATCCATGTATTTGATGAATCGGTGAATCCTATCCACCATGGAAGTAACAACGCAGTACTCGTATCACGTAAAGCCCCTAAATCGTGAACAAATGAAATCCAACATGATAAGGCCTTGCCCGACCGATCATCATCCCAATTACTGCCAGAAGAGCAGAGGTTTTGAAACAACATCATCATAGTGATAGTAAAAAGTGCAAGAAAGTCAGTTGGATTAAATATCTTTGCAGACATCTTTAAAACTGATTTCTTAATTGCAGGTTTTGTTTAGAAATTTTATAAAGAGATTTTGCATAATGCACTATTTCTTCAACGTCATAACAATGTTCGTCGCTGTTCTCATCCCATCTGATTCCCAAAATTTTCTTAAAGTTCTCTTGAAGATGTGGACTGAATTACTAGTTCTGTATGAGGCAAAGGAGATTTGACTTCCACCATTATACTTGATATATGCTTAGCATGATGACTCTTTATCATTTCCCACCTCAACAAACGGTCAATCTTCATCACTCCCGATAACAGTTTCAACATGTTGCGAGTTTGAATGCCCTTTTCGATGCTTGGATCCTCCCTGGTTCATTAATTTTGGAGATCCATGGCAGATGTATAGAGCTTCGTCCTCATTAGAAGTTTCACCAGCGAAATCGTCAACATACAACAACTCGATTAATAAGGAGACTATTTCTGGATCGACATTCTTGTATTTCGAAATGTGGTGACGAATAACAGTAGATAATATTGCAGGATTTGGGGTTAGACCAAATGGTAGGCGTCGGAACTTGTATTCCTTTAGCATCGGTCAATATCGTCAAACCAAAGAAACTTCAGAATCCTTCTCTGTTCGGGAGCTATTGTATTTGATGAAAAGCCTTTTTGATATCGGAAACAAACCCGATGAGGAAGCCTCGAAAGTTATTCATGTGGTATCAAATAAATGTGGAATCAAATTTCGCCCCATTTTGAGGCAATCGTTTAGTGACGATTCCTCATTAGTAGCTCTTGCCCAACCAAAATTCACTTGCCGTTTGCTATTGAGCTGTACTTAATATCTCAGTAGTAACCAGTTCAAATAAGATTAAATAACAGCGTTAATTTCCACTATATCAAAATGCAATCTTCAGTGCAAGAGTGATAAGTATTTGTTATATGATACATCATAGGAAGCTATATATGACATGTGATTTAAATAATATATTCATTATCATAGCTTCCAATAATGAATCACATTACTCAGTTCTAAGTCTCTAACCATTGTGAACTAAAGATAACATTTTGCTAATGCCGTCTGCTTTCAAAATAATTGCAAGTGGTTTCTATTTACAATTTATTTGTTTTATATGATATGAACAGAAAAACTGTAAGAATTTGTGTAAAATGTGATTAACGATTTACACAATTGACCTTCTCTGACTTCGTGCTCATATGATACATTTTCAATCTCATTCTATTTTTTGCCATAGTAATTTTTAATTTTTCCAGTATTTGTTGTATAGTTTCGTAAATGACGCTTACGCGAATTTCGCTCATTTAATATTAGTTTAGCACCCTGGATAAGAAAACCCAACACTCATATTGGTGCAGCTACAACACGTTTACGATCAACTCCAAAGTGGTGTTGTATCAGATTTGACGGTGCTGAGTCAGCACTAATATCGGTGTTAAAACAACACTTTTAATTTAACACCAAAAGTGGTGTTGTATCAGATTTGACTGTACTGAATCGACATTAATATCGGTGTTAAAACAACACTTTTCATGTAACACCACCTTATGGTGTCAAATTAGCACCAGTGAAGGTGTTGATTTGACACCCTAAAGTGAACAGTGTGCACAGTACTGAACGTCAATATTTTCTAATTTATGCACAGAAGCGATAAACTCTTTTAACAAATAGCTGAGCAGTAAAATATCACCGTTTTGAATGATTCTTTTCTAAATCCCTTCTACGCAAAACTTATCAAAAACTCTGCCATACAAAGTTGGCTCAACAACGTTATTAGTTTTTGATATAGACATTTAGTGTAAGCTAAATAACATCGTCCGTGATACTTTGCTTCAATTGCGACGCAATCCTGCCCATCAATATGAAGAAGAACACTTTCATCTTTCCGAAAGCTGCTGCTTGTTTTAGGACACCAGCATCAATAGTTTTAGCCCCTGACAATTCTTGCTTTGACTACCTTTTTTGTTACCTGAAAAAAATGATTATGACATTATCATATAATTGTGGCAATAGAATCAATGAAATAACTTTAGGCGACAGAACACGCGTAATTGTAAAATTTTCTTACCGCATCAGTGATGTTTAAGGGTCCTGGACGCTTACAGGTTAAGCAAACCTCAGGTAATATGTTGGATGACATGCTTTTATAAGTAGAGTAGATCGATTTTTCTCCAAGTGAATGACGTTTCAAGCGAGCAACTTTTACTGGCTGGTTTTGATTCCTTTCATCTGCTTCGTGTTCGATTTCTTCTACTGGGCGATTAATGGTACAATTAGCAATGGTTTTTTTTCGCTCTCTCGAGTTTACGTTTGTCCGTAAAATTCGATAGCACTGGATGTGGTAGCTGCAACTTTCACATAAGGTCTCAACTTCCGATTTGTCCTCAGTGTGTTTCAAAGACTTTTTTGCGGCACTTAGAAAATGGCTGAGAAAGGCCTAGCCAGTGCGTTCGTAGATCCTTTACTTTGGCTAATGTTTCTGCAGTAAAAATTCTCAGCTCTGCTTTTTTGCCGTCAAAATGAATTGCGATCGTTATTAGCTGCCATATTGTTGTGTGTAGTGATTTTATTAACGTTATTAGCAATATGCATAATGTAAGAGATAAGGCGTTAACTAAAGGAAGGAATTTATATCAAATATGTAAATGTACAACTTAATGGAAATGTGTATCGGAAGGGAGGATTATTTAAACAGTATGCCATTTTTGACAGCACAAAGAGAATTATTTTACACAGCTGTTTTGAACACTTGTTTCCCACTAAAGAGATATCGTTTACATATTTTAAAAGGCAGGCGCATGCTTAAACGAAGAAAATGGGGTGGTGGAAATCACCCTTTTGATGGATGGAAAATAGATTTGATGTGATCTTAAATTATTCAAAATGGTGTAAATGTTGACAAATGAGTTCGAAATGAGAGAAATTCCAAAAGCATATTTTCAAAAAAACTGCAGGTGTTACGAGCGGGAACTTGCGCTCAGCGCATAAAGAGGTGATTTACCGCACTTTTTTTCACTTCCCAGCCGGGTGAAATGAAACTTAACAATTTTTAGGTACAACATACGGCCTATTAGTTTTAATGATTTATTTACGACAATGTCGTCTCGAAAAAGACTGCACAATCCAATAACAACATCATCTCTAATCGATTATCTTAACAACAACTCCCCTTTTTAATAATCCCAAAGTCATTCCATCACCTGAAATGCACGTGAGCTATGACACAACAAAACATGAAGAAAAACAATGTTCATCCAGCAAGATGCTAAATTCAAAAAACCTACTTCCCGTGTTAAATGGAAAGGACATGTTTTTCAAATGACATTTGTATTTTTCTTGTGGTCATTCGTATCACACTAATAGTGGCTTTAAGAAAATGAGTACGGACAACCTAGTACGGTTAAAAACATGGGCGTGGAATGGATCGAGAGATTGAAGCGTTGCGTTGTCACCGTAGCATTCAGGGGCGGATCTAGGATTTTTCAAACATCAGTCAAAAAACGTCGGAGACACTCCGCGCGGGGGGGGGGGTCTGAGGCATTCTCCCCTGAGAAATTTTGAATTTCAGAACCTCTAAAATACCATTATCAGCGTTTTAGAGCAATACAAGATGTATTTTGTGGGCATCGTTTTTCGGTAAAAACAACACATTTTGCTTACGTTTTTTCCAAAAAAAAAATGAAGTGAACAATACTTAAATGTTTTGCCAAATATTTAGGCTCATTAGCATGCCTAGGAACCTAAAATTTATTTTACAATAATGCTATTCAAAAACAGATATAGTCTTTAAAAATTTCTACCAAGTTGTCAGGCATAGACCCCCCTAGAGACCCCCATTCAAACCTCTATGTAATAAGTTAAGTTAGAAATTTGGTACTACAAGTGACAGTTCATAAATATTGAAAAGCTCAGACTTCAAACCATGCAAGTTTATTGTAACCCTTTACCCATCTCCACATCAGAGCCAGCAAATTCACTTTTTGAGAAAAAACTCAAAATTTTTTTCTGTCAAAGATTAAGAAAATTATCAAAGTGAAAAATTGCAGTTAAGGACAGCTTAATGCCATGAATGTTTATTAGGCATTTCACTAGACTATTATTTTCTGTAAGTATATGCAAGGTGTGCTATATAGCAATCACTAGTAGCATTGTATTTGCAAATACAAACAGAATGTAACCAACATGTCTTTAATTATATAATTACATGAATGTTAAAATTGGTTCATGTGTCATGCTTACTGGTTATGATAAATATCTTTTCATATGATCAAAGCTCGTTTAAATGTAAATCTGAAATAATTTAGTTTAGAAATTATACTGATCATCAGAAAAATTACCTAGTGATCATGAAAAATACTTTGCTGTTTTGCCAAATTTCAAGGTTTATCTGCATACATTGGAAGACATTTTTACTTTATAGAAAATGCTATTCATACATCAATAGCCCTTTGCAATTTATGGCAAACAATCTGGTATGAGCCGTAGGTTAACACACCTTTACATCTCTACATGAGGTGTTCAGTTAGAAAAGGGGACAATATGTGACATGGGACAACATTTCATGTATGTGAAATACTCAAGTTTAATACCATTCCAGTCAAATTGTCAAAATAAAAAGCTTCATGGATCATAAGACTCAAAATCACAGGTTATAGTAAACAGCTTCTCATGTAATCAATGTTAGTTTTCTCAAATCTTAAACAATATGTAGTATAACTGTCCAATGATTGAATGATCAATGATCATAAACTGAAAAGCCCCAAACATTTGTTTATGATAAAGTAAATAATAGTATGGCACCTTATGGCTACAGATTTTTTGTCCATTGAAATATATTTGCAGAAATGTAGGATTTCGCTGCCATATAACGCCCACGATTCCCCAAGCATTAAAGAAATCATAGCTAATTTAAGTCCTTCGGCAACAACAATTTTAGAAGCATCAATCTGCTTACCATACGCCATATTAACATAAATCGCATCACACACTCGCATAAATTGACTTTGATGCATTGCATTCATGCATACACTTCACTTGTCCTTTACTTACGATTTTCGATGTAAATTTCTGCTGATAAAACTCAAAACAATGTGAAAAAATTCACAGTTTGGACAGCAGCATTCATGTCAATATATAAATTTGTAAAAGATTTCCAAAAATTCCATCTGATTGTAGTTTAGTTTCTATCATGCTTTAGAAAATTACTATGAAACGATCAAACATTCAATTCAGACAGTGAGCTTGACTATGTTAGTTCAGTTGGCTATCAGTCGAAATCGGTCAAACCAATCACAGTAAGACAAAAATTCAAATGAACCAATTGTAAGATAGCAATTGGACTCCCTTATAGGTCCGGCCACCCCTATTATCGGTCGAGATTATTCCAGACTGTCCACTGATCTGGCCATTGACCAATAAAATAGCGTTTCTGGCGTTCATAGACTCCTTTATAAGTCGAACCAGTCAAGCCACCCCGCTTATCAGTCGGTTAATCCAGGTCAGTGAACTCCATATATATATATCTGGAATGATAACGACAATACATTTTATAGATACAAAATTGAAGCCAAAGTCCTAGTCTCTTGCGCGGTTTGTACGTCAGTTCCAGTCCTTCAAAGTCGAATATTCACGCGGTTTGTACGTCAGTTTCATTCCCCTGAGTGCCAAACATACACGGCCAATATAAATTTGAATACAAATTGCAAAAGCATAAACATATAAACAACATCACGACAAACAACACACGAGGCCAACTCTTCGCAAAAGATTATTTTTTACAGCTGAAACTTTACTACAGAGAGTTCGTTTTAACTTACAACTTGTAACGAGGAAAAGCCAACTGAAAATTACACTGTTTGCTAAAAAGACAATACAATAGAAAATATGACGAAAAAATATTCAAGCATAAATTTTTCTTTCGTCGGAAGGTAAACTTTCAAACGGAAAACAAAAAAGACAGTGTTTGTCTTTTTTGTCATTTAAGTGGATTTAAAGATCTGTTTTCCGAATAAAAAGAAACTTGAATATCCAGTTTCATAAAAATATCGAGTCTATAACTCGCATTTTACTTTTTACAGAGCGATTGTATTTTTCATCGATTTTGATAGTGCTTGAAACTTGAAATACTAAATGGTTGTCATCTCGATATCAATAATTGAATATCCTTAAAGACTTTGATATGTTTTAAAGGAAAACCGCAGCGTAAGAGCAGATCGACTAAGTTCACCTCATCTTGCTTCTCGATTTATCACTTTGATTCACTTTCCGTGAACCTTTTCATTACAAACATTTCGTTATTTTACGCTCTGATCAAGATCCGAACTCTACCATTACCAAGGGACAAATGATTTTAAAAAAATAAAATGAACACGCGAGAGACTAGAGCCTGACGAGTGATGACGAATGATGACGACAAATATTTTTTTGGCTTCAATTTTTGGCTTCGGTTATCATTCCAGTTATTCAAATGTCGAGTTCACTGTTCCAGGTCAATTAAAATTTAACTGATCTGGTTACCAAGGAGATATTCGTTGCATTAGTCATTAGTTTTCAATAATAAATAAAGCTGGATTTTTATCACGAAGTAAATGCGACAATAAAGTAAGAATAATTAATGATTTTTAATTAATATGAATAGGTAATTTTTGAATTTCAAACATCAGTCGCGCGACGGATTTGACATACTCTAGATGCGCCCCTGGTAGCATTAACCTCACTACGGTGACTTTAGCGGCAGTTTCTTGTTGTGTTGACAAAGAGTGAAAGAATTTGATCGTTTTATTGGGTAAGTCAATGTTTTTGTTTTTAGTTTGATGCTTTAAAACTTTAGAAGTTTTACTGATGTACTACTTACATATACACACAAACATACAATGAGTTTCAGCTGCGTAACTTGAGTTCAGTTCACATATATTTTCTTGAAATGTGGAATTACAATATGGCTAAATTACTAGAGGTAGTACTTTGGTAACATTGTTGCTAAACTATTTTGATACTTTTGTTCAGAAGTTTATTCCAAAGTTTTACTTAACATGAGTTTATTTGAAGAGTGTCTACTTAACAAATCGTTTGACATAAAATGCACTATACTAGATGTTTAAGTTTTTCTAAACTTAAAAACTGAACCTAGATTTTTTAGTTTCCCACTGACGACTTGAAGTAATTTTGTTTTTTCTGTAGTGCGAAGAACCCTCTTACAATACAAATAAAATAAGAGCTACAAGTAAGACCACCGTAGTCAGTGGTCGTGTTTGTTTTCTTAAAGTTACCGCTTTGGAAAAAAGGTAACCGTACTCGTCCATTCCACGCGCATTTTTTTAACCGTAGTAGGTTGTCTGCAGTCATTTTCTTTGTATTAGTCATTTCAATTAAGTCAATATTGATTTTTCAATATGCATTGTTGTTTTTATCGCTTATTTGAAAATGAATAAAAGCATAAATTAAATCGTTGTTTTATTGAACATCCCTTTTGCTCAATTGACATTTGATTGAAGGGCAAATGCTGTAGCTAACAGAGCAACAAATCAAGGCAGCAAGGCAACTTCGAAACTCTGTTTATGACTGCATTTTTGAAGTTCATTTCGCTACATTGTAAGTTATGAAACGTCCATTAAAGTTTTTTTGAAACTTGGAAAATGATACCACTGTATCTCGAGCGCAAATCGATTGATCCTGCAAACTGCACAGTGCGAAAGCACAAAAAAATCGTCAAAAATAGAATTGGCGAAAATTATTACTTACAGTAGAAAAAAAGCACTAAAAAAATTTTCTTACTTGTCGTTCTTATATATTGAATTGTTACATCTTTTTCCAACGATGCATTTTGGCAACATTTGTTTTTAACGACACATCTGTATTTTAACAGCTCATTATCCGCGGCTGCGAAGGGTACATGTATTAGTTCGGAACTCCAAATTCCTGGCTCGTGGTAATCAAATTTTGTGCTATTTAGCCTTAAAAAAGTACCATTTTTTTGCACTTGTATCCAATAGACGCTGGTCAAATTGTTTCCTTCACCGCGGCATAAGACAATAACTTTTCCATAACCAGAGTATGATATCAGTCTTTCATCGAATTTTATTTGAATAATTTTAAATGGTAACGGAATGTCTATACAATATAAATAAGCAATGACTTAGGATGAGAAGGTGTAAAACACGAAAGACAACTGTGCTGGTGAGATTGCTATAGTATCGTATTAAAATGAATTTTTTAAGAAGACATGTTTTGTAGTGTTTACTGCAACAATTCCCCAAAATGAACTAATTTAGGCAAAATTTCAGTTACCTTTAGGCCTGCACTTTCCCAAAGTGGAACATCCACTTTAACCTTAAAGTGGATGTTCAATTAAAAATGATATGTTTTTAAAATTGCAATCGTATTATTTTTATTGTCGTTCGTATCGCATCATTGGACTAAAATACATGGAACGCTAAATGTAATAAAAACGCCTAATAACTTTTTGAAGCCAAATTCTACAGCGAGACACGCGAGATTACACCCAGACACGCGTGTGAAGTTCAATCAATTTTCACTGCGCGAGAGAATCTCGAAACACTACACACGCGTGTTTGGGTGTAATCTCGCGTTTCTGGGTATTTGAGATTTGGCTTCAATTATTTGCCTCAGGTAGCGTTCCATGCATTTCACATTAAAGATTGTTCAATACGCGCCATTGTTGTTTGTATCGCTCATTTGAAAACAAATAAATAGCATATGTTAAATCATTTTGAAATTAGAAAGGCACAATTAAATATAGAACACCCCTTAAATATGCCTACCCTTTTTTCTCTTGATAAAGAGCAAATGCTGAAAACTAGCCGAAGTCATACTACAGACGGAAAACTCGTTTCGGACGGGAAAATCGTCTAGACTGGAAATTCGTCTGATATGAGTTCGATAAACAACCGGTTTTATGACTCTACTTTTCCGTCTAAATTTTCCGTCTAAATTTTTCACCTAAATATCTAAATATCTATATACATATTGAAAAATAAAAGTTTCTCCAGATTTTATAAACAGATTTTATTGAGCTTTCGAGCCTTCTTCAGAATAGGAAGTTACTAGCTATTTACATTGTTTTCAGCTTGTAGACATTTAGAGCATCTAATTGGATTAGCGGGTGAATTAATATGATTGGATCGTGTGGAATGCGTTGTCATGGGTTTTGGTGTATTGTGAATGTGTTTGGTGTTAATATTATTATAATGTATTTTTGTAGTCTTGGTGTTGTTTGTAGTTCTTCTGTCCTTTTTCTTTAGTTGTGAATATATGATTGGTAGGTCGATACGTCTGTTTATTGTGTCTTCGTACAGAACACGGTCGTCGATACTGAAGTCATTGAGCATGTGCATAAACTATACTGGGTGAAACGAAATATAAGACTTAACGTGGAAAATGATAGCGTTAAAGCTCTCATGTATTCAAAAAATAAACGGCCTTTACTCCTCGATAGTGCAAACAGCCATACTCTTCTAAAAATGCAGTAATTCACGAAATCATCTGATGGATGGAAAATTATCATTAACGATAAGACGAAGATTAGTCGTGCGAAACAAGAAAAGTATTTGTTTCAGTATGTGAAACAACAGTGCAACATTTCGTCAATCGAAGAAATTTTTGAGACAGCGAATGATTAGGATAACGTTATTTGCGTAGCAAAGCTACTCATATTGGTGAAGTTGCAGAGGTGGGGGGCGAAAAAGTGGAAACTAGCACAGCTCAATTTTTCAGATGTCACCGGATCTATCACAGCCCATACTTGCGAGGGGCAAGTAAATTATTCAATGGCAAATAAATTAGTCACAAAGGTTAAAGCAGAAAGCTTTACCTGACAGTTTTTTGATTTTTTATTGTAGCAGAATGTTTTCATATTTTGGGTAGACACATTTGTTATCAAACCAGTTGAATATGATTTTATATGGATTCATATTTCATACCAGTTACATATTTTATAAATCAGTTGATCATGACTTACATGCATTCATATTGAAGTACTTGTTCCTCCTTCATGATAATAAGTATTTTTGCAAATCAAGATTAATTTTTTGTAATAATCTTTATCCATGCCAGAAGCATCATTTTCCTTGCGAAGATCATAATCGCCTTGATTTGACGACGATGAACGATGTGGAATTTCGCCAAGAAAAAACTGATATTCCCATGCTAGCCGAGGTTCTTAGATTACCTGATAATTTTTGTTATGAACAAGGAACATTAGGCAATGGAATTGAAGGCCTACGCATTTTGCTAAAAAGACTTGCATATCCTTGTCGATTGAGTGATATGATCCCTCGCTTTGGTAGACCTGTCTCTGAAATGAGCATGATACTCAATGCATTCGTTGATTATAGTTACCAGCAACATAGTTATAGCATTAATGGTTGGAGGGTCACACTTCAGGGGGCAGCATTACACAATTGCTCTGGTTTTGTTGATGGCACTGTACGGCCGATCTGTCATCCAGACAAAAACGAACGTTGTGTGTACAACGGTCACAAGAGAGTGCATTCCCACAAATTTCAATCTGGAACTTTACCATCTGGAATAGTTGCTCAAATGCTTTGACCATTAGGTAAGAAAGAAGAACAAAAATGAGTTTTTAATAACAAAACCAGCATGTTTCGTTGTAACAGATTTGGTGATTTTTTAGAATTAACAAACAAAATTCTGTTGTGTTGTAAAGGGCAAAAGGCATGATGCTAGGATGTTGGCTGAGTCTGGTTTGCTTGATCAGTTACAAGAAAATGCTTTTCCAACAATGGATTATCCTAGGCGTTTGTATGGTGATCCAGCTTGACCTCATCGTGTACACTTGGAAGGTCCTTTCAGAAATGCACAAAATACTGCTGAGATGCACGCTTTCAACACATCAATGAGTTCTGTGAGAGGTTTGGTGGAATGGTTGTCTGGTACCATAACATATTATTTTAAGTTCATGGATTTCAAAAAAAATCTTAAGATAGGATTAAGTTCAGTTGGAAAGTTTTATTTGGTATCAGGTCTGATGAAAAATTCCCTAACATGTTTGTAGCAAAATTTGACCTCAAAGTTCTTTGATGTGGAGCCCCCTACTCTTCAAGAATATTTTATATGAGTTTTTGCACAACTAATACATCAACTGATATGAACATAATTTACTTACTATGTACATTGTTCTTTATATGAATTTATATACAGTTAGGGTAAAAAGTGTTAATCAAAGATAATGTAATTTATAATAATTTACAGCTAAAGCAACATGCACTGTCTATTTTATAAATCAGCTAAATTCCCCAAATCAATATTCACAAACGTAGAATTTTGGATCAAATCATCTTTTAAATTGAATGAATGCATTCCTAGTGATGCTTTTTGCTGTAATTGTACACAACATTATCTCCATCCAAATGTTTGAAAAAGCTTTTCACATGTGAGAACTGTTTTAGATAGCTTAACAACCTGTTTATGTAACATAACATGCTTAACTTGAAAAAAACCTGTTTAGGGTCATTTAGACTCTAGAGTTAAGTATTCATTTCTGACCAAATCATAGCTAGCATCATGGTTTGAAAATCTTATATTTGTTTGCTTTGCTGTTGCTGCTGCTGCATAACCACATTTATGATTTTATCATTCTTTTTCTTTTGAAACTCCAGGAACTTTCTTTTCAATTCCATTTTTTCTTTTTGAAGTTCATGCTGCATTTTACTTTTGCCTCTTAGGTATGTTAGGCTATCATTGCCATTTAACCTTCTTTTGAACATGCTCCCTCTTCATCTCCTTTTCTTTTTTGTGTTTCCTCAAGCTTTTCCATTGCTTGTCGTCTCTTGTCATCAGCAGTTTTTTTTTTCACAATCTGCTACTTTTAACTTATTTTCTGATTCATGTTCTGTTTGTCTCACAGAAGCATCTTCCCATTTCAATCAAATCTTCAAGGGCATGTTCCACTTCATTTATTTCCATGTCAATTCCACTTGCTCTTTCTTCAAAACTTAATTTTCTTCAAAATTTTTGCGATAGAACGTACAGCTATTGAGTCTACTTTAAACTTTAGGGTTTCTATTGTCATTAATTTCTCCACTATATATTTCCATTAGCTCCCTCTTTGAGCTGTGCCCTTTTTTGTTCCTATGAATGCATTTACGGCTAGAATTTCGCGACATAGAAATATGTCGTGTTCTTCAGTCGAAAACATAGCCCTAGCAAAATAGAATAAACTGTGCTAGGAGATAAATATTTTGCTTTATATCATGAAATGGTTTTTTGAGTGAGTAAAGAACATAAAAACGAATAACTTACGGAGTTTTCGGACGTTTCTTGCTCCCCAGTTCACCTTTGTTTGCTTAATAATCAATATACTCATTACAAGTGTTCATATCGTCAGCGTTTATATCCTGGTTTGACAAAAAATATATAATATTCCATCCCAGTTCTTCCCGTATTCCACACAACGTAAAAAAACGTTCTAAGCCATCGTCACCTTTCCTGAACGGAAGACAACATGCTACTGCGCATGCTTTCATTGAAAAGTACTTCCGGATTACTGTCGTAGCAATGTCACGTCGTGCATCATCAGCTGTGTAAAAGCGCTTTTTCTAACTGAAAATATGGTGCTCGAACGAACAAAAACTTGGGGAAACTCAATTGCTGTTTCAAGACCACAAGAAACAAGAAACAAACAGCATTTTTAATGGAGCTTCTGAGTTTTGAAATACTTATACGAACGGTAAAAGATACTTAGTGCATAGGCTGATAGCCACCCTTCTGCTGACGTCTAAATCGTGCAGGAGTATATCTAGACATGTGCAGCCGGTGCTTAGGATCTGTCAAATTTTCCCAGCTTCAATGTCGAATATCAAATTATATTTTATCTCCGCTACTTGCATAACTAAATCCTACTAATAATAGTTTATTTATTTGCAAAAATAGAACGTCGGCATTTCGTTATTTGACGTAAATCGAAAGTACAAAACGCTTTTCCGTCAGTAAAATAGTCGTATAAATAAATCTTTGCAAGTTGAAGTCTATGCACAAGGTCATATGCAGTTTAGTTACAGATGAGATTGTTTTAAATACATACTGAGAACATACCGTTTGCAATTCTTATACTTCTTGATAATTTTGTCTCACAGCAACGTCCGTATGCAATGCATTGGTAATAATAAGGAAACTTGTCAATCGGAGGCGAATCACTCAAAGTAGATGTAATATAAAATGAAGTAGATGGTGAATTCAATCTTCCTTGTAAGTGCACAGTGTCCATATCAGAGTTGTTGCGTATCCAAGAGACGCTTTGTGCTTCTATTACTGAACATGAAAGCGAGATATTACTTGGTACAACGTTATCGGTAGAAGATTTGGGATTGTCCGGGAAAAAAATAGGTACTGAAGAGCTGCAATCTAAAATTAAAGAAATAGTGCAAAAAACATCAACAAAATCTTATTCAATACAGAATTGAGCATGTAAACTGTATATACTCCCAGTCATTAAAGCCGCGTACAAAAGCTATGTCGTTAACAAATGTCATTCATACCAGTTGCTGGTAAGGAAATTTTTCTCGTATGCACATGTTTTGGTGGCTTTTACCATTCCGGGCATGAAAGAAAAAAATGTGCTACATTTGTTATTTTTGCTACGAGTGGGAAAATGGTATGTCAATTTTCCGGTGTGGCCTCTTGAAACAAATTATTTTCATCTTTTTATTACGGCGCACGTTCTAGAAATTTTACTTCAACTCAAAATGGAGCCCTTAGGCGGCTCAACAAAATGATAAAGTCGAAAAAGTAAAATTGCCTCTTCAACTCTTGTTAAGGAGGAAGGCCGCTGTTCAACAGCGCTGTTGTATATGTCTTCTTGATGAAATATTTCTTCTGCTTAAAATCGCACATTTGAAACAGCCGCCATCTTCATTAATTAATTACTTTAATCAAGTATTTTGTGCAAAAACCGCTGGACACAATGACTTACAAACTAGCGTTTTGGCATGCAAAATACCAGGCGTGGAGGTCAAAAACTTTCACAAACATTGATTCTTACATGCAATTAGTACTACATTAAAGTTTTGCTATCCACGTATTAACAGCAACAAGAACAGATAAGCTAAAATGCTCATAATAATCGACATGATATAGGGTTGATTACTCAAAATAACAAGAAAATGTTTCAGATAATGTAGTATCGTCACATGCAAAAAATGAGACGTACTCATCGCATGTGGATAAATGGCAAAGAGCTCTTTGTTCGTTGAATTAACAATTGTATTAAGGTTAATGATATATTACCATTAATGAGAGTCATATATAAGTATATGTTTATTCTTATTTTGGTTCTCCACTTGACCATGAACTAGAAATACTGAGCACAGTTAAAAAATACTCTAAATAAACATGAAGAGTTTTTATGCACGCAATGCAACGTGCAAGCAAACATTACAACGTTATTGTTTGTATTGACGAACGTCAAGAACAAAGAACAACCAAATGAACGACAAGGTGCAGTTTAGAAAATAAACTGCTCCGACGGCCATGCCTCCTATATCGCGTGGCCTCCTGCATCGGGGTGACTGGCAGGAACTTAAAAATAAGACTTACTCAACACAAACGAGCAACAAAGAAACAAGACAAAACCAACCATGCACATTGCCGAACATCATCGACTAAAAAAATACAACAACAACTGGGACTCGACTAGGAAAAATGCATTACTTAGCCCTGTTTACACGGAAGTAGGGTGACCCTGGTCACAAGAGTATCTAATTAAACAGAAAGGTCATTCCTTTGAAGTTTTGGTTACGCTGACAATTGCCGGAAGTGCGCGTCGCCATGTTCGTAGGTAGTTTAGGATAAGAAAACTTTACCATAAACAATATTGCAAAATTGGATCGTTGAGTTTAAAAATGCTTTTTATGGAGTTTAACTGGATAACCTTTGCCACTTTTTTGATTACATTAAAGAAAGGTAATATAAGTTTACTTCGTCGACTCTTTTGACTCAAAAATCTAATTTACTAGACGATTTGATTGCAATTTTTTGGGAGTATACTCGCATACTCGGTAGCCTGCATTTCAGACTACATATATTGTATATGTAGTCGGCTAATCAGCAGCAAAAAGCTTGGATGGTCACGTCGACATTGAATGATACTTTATTTGATAATTCAGAATAATTCTCACACGTATTGCATAGTTATTTTCGGTAACAAAGAGTCGTTCGTATGCGTACTGTTCGTGTATTCTCTGTTTTGGAGAAAAATAATTTGGATGTTAATTTAATTAAGTGTAGGCGTGCTATCGATATTTCCGCCAAAATAGAGAATTTCGATTCAGTCGTTCACTCTGTTTCAAGGCATACTTGACGGTCATGTCTGAACGAAGTGCCAAGCGACTACCATATAAAATCATGAGCAAATGGACTGAAAGCGACTATTTGCTCTCGATGAAACCTTCCCACTTTGAAAAAAAGCATACGATGCAAAGTGCTTACATAAAATTTTGGCATTGAACCATGGACGGTTCAATGAACGACGCCATACTGCCTCGTGTTATTGCTGAATTATTTGGCATAAATATAAACTGTCCAATGAACATGCGCCTCAGCTTTTGCTGGGAATCCACGTGACCATACAAACTTCTTGCCGCTAATTAGCAGACTATATATACAATATATACTCTGCGATGCAGGCTACCTACTAGGCGGCTTCGACTCGTAGGTTTTGTTGTTTTAGCAATTCGTCTAAAGTATTCCCTGGACATATTGTTTACTACTTGTATGTATACAATGTATAATCAATAATGGTACATCCTTTATTGATAGTATTTGATTTAAAGGAGGTTCAAATAACCATGGTTAAAGTGGTTATGCAACGAATTTTGGCTTTGCTTTTATTAGCTTATTAAAATATTTGGCGTTTGAGAAGGAATTTGGTGCATAAATGACTTTCAGTAACTAAATTTATCTCCAAACTTTGTCATTTTGTGCGAACTTTTGCCGCCATGTTTGTTCGCTGTGACGTAGAACGAGTACCGCTCCTAATTACTTTATAGTATTTATCATAGCGTGCGAAGTATTTGCCGTGATTTAACAAGCTTTTTAAGGGCAAAAGCCAAGTAATTTTGTTTGAAATCAAATGAGAGTCCTTTAATACAAGTTATTCACGGATATGCGGTAAAGAGTTCTGAAATAGTACTTAATCACACAAATTTTTAGTATGTACACAGGGGCGGATCTAGGGTATTTCAAGTCAGTCACGCGACTGATGTTTATATTTAAGAAATCATTTATCAAGTTTAATGATTACAATTTTTGTGATCATTAAATTCCCGTTCTGTAATCGTTTGAATTTCATCGTCAAAATTCTGTTTTATGTTTGAAAACTTATACAAATACCACCTTAGTAAACAGATCAGTAGACATAAACATATCTAGAATTATATTAACTGGCTGACTGATAAGCGGGGTGGCTCGACTGGCTCGACCGATAACGGAGTTCAAGAACGCTTATTTAAGTTATTCCATTGCTCAATAGCTAGATCAGTGGACGATCTGAAATAATCTCGAACGATAAGCGGGGTGGCCGGAACGAAAAGGGAGTCCAATTGCTATCATGTAATTGGTTCGTTGATATTTTTCTCTTACTGTGATTGGTTTGACCGATTTTGAGTGATAGCCAACTGAACCAACACAGTCAATCTCACTGTCTGAATTGAATGTTTGATCGTTTCATAGTAATTTTCCAAAGACATTTAATATGCAGGACAACTTTTTTAAAAATAGACATGTTTCGACATCTCATGATGCCATCTTCAATATGAATGAAATAATAGGTGATACAGGGTTTATAAAAGTAATATGATACGTAAATTAGAACAATAAAAAGGAAATAAGATAATATAATGAGGAGCGTCCGAGCGTATTATAAACTAAATATTGTATTAAATTTAAAAACTTGAACATTGAGGTCAGGGTTAGTTTTGTTAATGTGGAGTGCTTCTTTGATTTTAAGGGTGAATGAGGTGTCGGCAGTGTCGATGATTTTGAAACAAGAGGGTGAATAGTTGGTTTTGCATGAGTGAGATTTAAGAAGGTGTCGGTAGATGTGAGAGTTTTTGTCTGCTGTGGTATGTTCCCTGATTCTGGTGGATAAATGGCGCGAAGTTTCGCCAATGTATCGGGAATTACATCCCGCGCAATTGAATTCATATACTACCATAGATTTAATTGAATCAGGGATCGGGTCTTTAAATGAAAAAAGGTTTTTGATTTTGAATGATGTGAAAATTAGTCGAATGTCGATATCTGTACAGAAGCGTTTCATAATGTTTGTAAGTCTGCGTTGTGTGTGTCGTGAGTAATGTCCGATGTATGGTAGTTTGAAGTATAGAGTTGTTATTTTGGAATTTTCATTTGTGTTGGTTGTGATCGTCGTGTCAGGAGTTTCGGTGTCTAGGTTGAGGTTGTTGCTATGTTTGTTGTCGCGATATCGTTTTACGGTTCTGTTAATAAAGTGAAGTGGGAAAGAGTTTCGTAAGAGAGTGGATGTGATGTTTTTTATGTCTCGTTGAAAGCCATTGTTCGTATTGTTAAGTTTGTATGCTCTGTCGATTAGTGTGCGTATAAGTCCGATTTTGTATGAAAGTGGTGTGAAACTAAAATAGTTCGTCAGAAGTCCTGTGTACGTTGGTTTGTGGTATGTAGATGTTGTACAGCTGTCGTGAGATTTTGTTAGTAAAATGTCAAGAAATGGCAGTTGATCTTGTTGTTCAGTTTCAAAAGAAAATCTAATGTTTGCGTGCTGTGTGTTAATGTAATTATAAAACTTCATGGCCTCAGTTTCGTTAGTAAAACACAAAAATATCGTCAACGTATCTGCGGTAAAATAGTGGTTTAGTGTCGTTGTAGTTGTTTAGCCAGTTTCGTTCATGTGAGCCCATGAAAATGTTAGCAAGTATGGGTGCTAAGGGAGAGCCAATCGCAACACCGTCCGTCTGGTCATAAAATTTTCCATTAAATAAAAAATGCGTCTGTGCTGTTGCTATTAAAAACAGTTGTGTGAGGTCGGTCCTGTTTATACTGAACGTGGGGTTGTGAGTGAATATTATGTCGATTGCTAGGTTGATGGTTTCAGTAAGTGGTATGTTAGTAAATAGGCTTTCAACGTCGTAGGAGATGAAGAATTTGTGACAAGAAGTTGATGAGTTGAAAGATGAGAAGTCGTCGAGGAAAGTGAAAGAATCTTTAGTGGAGTAATCATCTGGTATGAGTGGTGTTAGTGGTCTTTCACTTTCCTCGACGACTTCTCATCTTTCAACTCATCAACTTCTTGTCACAAATTCTTCATCTCCTACGACGTTGAAAGCCTATTTACCAACATACCACTTACTGAAACCATCAACCTAGCAATC